GAAAGATCCTGATAGTTTGTATTCATTGCTTTGTAAGTTTTCCTCCATGTTGGTGAAAATCCCCAAATATCACAGGGTAATGTTGTATCAAACGTTATACTTCTCTTATACGGTACAATCTGATTCACATGGGCAGTATCATTGGTAGCGTTGAAGTCCTCATACAGTCAAAAGATGCTGAGTCATGTGATGGCATGTGTCTCTGCCCTTATGTGGTCACCCTTCTTGCAAAAATTCCTTGACCTATTGACTAATCAAAGTGGGAATTTGATCTAACTTTGGAGTGGGTATATGTTTCTATGTTATGATCCAGCTGGAACCTAGCTTTGAGATTGGTGAAGAGGTTTGGGAAAGGGCATTATCATACTGAAGGCTGGTAAGAAGCCTGAGAAACAGCCCAAAGTGAGAGGTCTATGAGTCCGCAGGTCACTTAAGATGCCTCAAAGGGGACTGAAAAGCCTCAGGAAGAGAGCTTAAAATTTGGGGCCTAGTGTAGTGTTTCATTAAAGGTGTCCATCTCGGCACAGAGTACAGGGTCTCCTGAGGACCCCCTAGGATCTCGCTGAGGAGGAGAACCCCTCCTGAGGTCATGGACATGCAAGTGTCGTGGAGAGATAGCTGGAGTCATCACTGACATTGTTTCTAGTAGAACTGATAAGAAAAGAGAGGTATATGGGGGCCACTGAACCCCAGCACTTAACTATACTGTGCTATTTCACTGTAACAGTTTAAAATGTGATGTTTAACCTTTGCTTTTAGAGAGGAGGCTTTCTGAAAGAGGGAATTGACCTTGCAGCACTAGGATTTATGGAAATGGAGGTTAGCTTTTTTCTCTTTGGAAAATGGTGTTCAGAAGTCACAGAAAAGTTGATTGCTGTGTAGAAAAATCAAATAGACTGAATAGAAATGATCTGATGGCAAGTTAACTTAAGTGCTAAATAATTAAATTCTAGGTTTCAGGTCCATTTTGTTTGGGAGAAGACAGATTTGCCAGACTGGTGTCAAGACATGTGGAGTCTGAGTTTGGAAGTTTCAAGGAAAATAAAATTTTCCTTTTGATCTCTTAAAAACTCTAAAGACTAAGGTATCTGTGGCTTCTGAGGGAACACAGGGTCTCGGGGAGGCTGGAATGTCCACCGTTCACCTGGACCTGGCTAGATGAGAGACAGTGGGTGAGAAGGGAGTGAAGGCAGAAGAGGCCTGTGAGAGGCTCCACACTTGGCAAGAAGGAACTCAGGGGAGAAGGATGCAGGCTTAGATGAGCAGCTGCTCAGAACAAGCCAGGCGCGCTTGCCTAAAATCAAGTCCTTTGACCTCCTTTGTGAGATCAACAGCTGTTCATGGTTCATGAGGAGACCAACAGCTGTTCATGGGGGTAGCTGCAGAGTAGATGGGATTGGGCAGCCTTGAGCCCTCAGGGGGAAGCAATGGTAGATCTTTCCTTTGCTGAGTGTACAGAACAGGATGTCAGGGGCTGTACCTTTATACAGTACACTGGACTTACAAAACCACTGTCTGTCAAAACTTAGCAGATCAGTTTTTTTCCTGATAATGCTTGGTTATAGTTTTTAACATTCTTTTAAAAAAGATTTACTTTTCAGTTATGTGTATATGCATGTGTCTATTGAGTGCCCATGGAATCTATGGGGACCAAATTCTACGGACCTGGAGTTATTGGCAGTTGTGAGCTGACCAACATGGATGCTAGGAACCGAACTCAGGTCTTAACCACTAGAAATCTCTCCAACCCAGTTTCTGATATTCTTTTGTTTGTTTGTTTGTTTGAGACAGGGTCTCCCTGTAGCCACAGCTAGCCTGGAACACACTATATAGACCAGGCTGGCCTCAATCTCATAGGGATCCACCTCCCTCTGCCCCTAGAGTGCTGGAATCAAAGGTGTATGCCTCCACACCGAGCCTCTGACATTCTTAACTGATCTCATGAAGTTGGTCTAACTGAATTATTAAATATGGCTTTAACAAGAACCCTTTAATGAATGGAAATTCAGGATATCAATGTTGTGATAAAAAGATTATTAATAACACTGGAGCCTATAGAAATTAAAAGTGAAAAGAACTTTATACTGCAATAAAAATATGTATTATTTTGGTATTTTCTTTTGCATGGTGGTAGTCAACGAAAGGTAAAGATGCTGTGTGAGACCCTGGATGACTTGTGGTCAATGCTGGCTTCATGGACATGGCATCTGTGTAGCCCATGGTCCCCATGCTCAGCTTAATGCTTTTCTATTGCTGTCTTAACAATTTTTAATAATTTTGGAATATTTTCACTTTGCATTGAGCCCTGAAAAATCTTGCTGCTGTCTGTATTCTGTGTTCCCCTGAGGAGTATGAGACGTCTTTTTTTCCCCCTCTAGAGTGCCAAATGTTGAGGAATGCTTGCTAAGCAAAATGAATGCTGAGATGGAAAAACTGAGCATCTATTCCATAGGGCTTGACTCAAAGGCCATAAAACCAAATTCTATGCACCTAGAATTACTGGCAGTTGTGAGCTGACCAACATGGATGCTAGGAACCGAACTCAGGTCTTAACCACTAGGAAATCTCTCCAACCCAGTTTCTGATATTCTTTTGTTTGTTTGTTTGTTGGTTTGTTTGAGACAGGGTCTCCCCATAGCCACAGCTGGCCTAGAACTCACTATATAGACCAGACTAGCCTTGATCTCACAGGGATCCACCTCCCTCTGCCTCTCTTATAGAGATCTGCCTGTTTTGCCTCCTGAGTGCTGGGATTAAATGCATGTGCCACCATGTTCAGTTTAAAATTTTCCAAAATTATATTTTATTTGTTTTTAATGGTACGTGTATGTGTGTGTATAGTAGTAGTAGTATTAATAAGCACTTTATAAACTGAACCAACTCCCCAGCCAATGGCATCCTTATCAAGACATTAAAAAGTTGTGTACCAAGGCATGCAGTATGTATGTGGGTATGAGTGTGTGTCAGTGCATGAATGTGGATGTCAGAGGACAGCTTGCAGAAGTTGGTTCTTTCTTTCCACCTTGAGTGTCCTAGGGATGGAACTCACGTCATCAGGCTTGGCAACAAGTGCCTTTACCCACTGAGTCATCCTGACAGCTCAACTCTTGACATTTAATTCAACACTTTTATCAACAAATAGAATGATAATATGTCCATACAATTTAGAGATGACACAAAGTTATAAGGGTCAGCCAACTTGCTCTCCAAGATATTGTAAAAGATGTCTTCAGGTTGGCACAGTATACAAACATAAATCACTTAAAATTTTTAAAAAATTGTTTTTTTTTACCTTATTTATTTTGTTTTACTTCTGGTGCTGGAGATCAAACCTAGGACCTTATATGTGCTAGGCAAGTGCTCTACCACTGAGCTACTTGAGCATATATAAAATTACATATTTAAGTTTCAAAAATAAATACATGGTTCATGAGAAATTGTTAAGTTTTAAGAAGTTTGAAAAAGGAAGATCCATATTGTTAACTGGAGACTCAAAAAGAATTTTTAGCACGATATAGCTGTTTCAGAAAAGCAAAGATGGGCTGGGTATGTACCTTGGTTGGTAGAGTGCGTGCCAGCATGCGTGAAGCCCTGGGTTCTATCCCCAGGATCAGATTAACTGACATGGTGGTGCATCCCTGTGATTTCAGCACTTGGGAGTTGGAAGCAGGACCATCAGGAGTTCAAGGTCACTCTCAAGCTACATGGAGAGTTCAAGGCCAGCATCAGATATGTGAGAGCCTGTTTTTTAAACACTCAATGGTGTTTTAGGCTTACGTGTCTAAAGCAGGGGTAGGAAAACTTACTCTGCAAAGGGTCATAGAGTGAACATTTAATTCTTTGCAATCTAGATGATGTTCATTATCTTTATTCAATCATTCTCCTATAGCTTGAATACGCTGGAGAAAATATGGAAAAGAATAAGTATGATTTTACCCTAGTAATGCTGCACTGTGAGATGGATTTGAATATCAGGTCACTTTAATGAGTCATTTTGATATTTTACACGTTAT